AATATAATAACCAGATCCAATGGACCTAACATAAGATGAATTTATGTTAATTTTACCAACCAGCATTCTCATCAATCATATATATTTGGGGGGGAAATGTAAACATTATTGCCTAACGTACCTTATATACATCTGATAGCTGACTATAAGAAAGAACTTTAACAATCTACAAAGGTAAAGCTGATAAAAGGGTACCATATTTTGGTTTATCTTATTTAACCTTAAAGTATATATTAATATTTTAAAACGTAAACTCAATAAGAGCTGGTATAATCAATATCTAATATAAGTAGTCTTATTTTTTAAAGAAGAAAGAGAACAGAAAGTTGAGCTTTAGATCTGCTATTTCATTGGGAAGTTCTCTAATATTTTATCAGAATATTTTAATAGACCCCAGAAGGTTTGAAATATTGTTTCCCTTTGAAATATTTTCCATTTGATGAAAATAATAATTTCTCCTGGAAAGTGAATTATATCAAAAATTTTCTGAAAGTCTATTTTTAGGAAATGAATTTTTGAAATCCAGTGTCTTTAACAAACATATGTCAGAAAGCGAATTTGAAATAAATTACAGAAAATAGTGCCAGCGGGTATATATGGGTGTGTGTATCTCTTACATATGTATATGTTCAACAGAATGGATATATATGTATATACATACATATACATACATACATACATATATACACACACAAATAAGTAGGTAGCACACCTACATTTTAATACACACACATACCCACTTCGCTGGGTCTACACATGCACCAGCAAGTTATTTTAGGGCTTCAACTCGAGAAAAAAATCTCATTATGTGAGGAGCGAAGTGGCTCTGCGGGGAGCATTATGGAAATATCTGGGCTTGATTTAATGAGGCTGTTCACATTGGTGGAATATCAACTTAACAGAGAGAAGTCTACCCAGGGCGTCCAAGTTACCAAAATGAAAATTGGCAATTGAGATGATACGAACGTGGCTTTCTTCTGCGAAATCACTTCAGGTAACAGAGATAACATTAAATAACATACATTCTATGCACCAAGAACAATGTTTTATGTACCGAGTCTCTTATCCGTCTCTCCTAATGACTTCCCTTAGCGGGTTGTTAGTACTTGACAGCAGGTCTCCGTGCGGGGAACTTTTCTCCAATTCCACATTCAAAGGAGGTCCATCAGAGAGCATGATTGGCAATTTTCGTCATAATCTGCACATTATTAGCATCAAAATTGACGTGGCAGTTAACACTGGTGGGTTTTGATGTGCCTTTCTTCAAGTTCAAGGAAACCCCTCCAGTAGTCGGGTTTGGCAGAGCGGGTCTCGACAACCCAGCGGCGGCTTTGTAGAGGCGAAGGCGCAATTGACATGCGTTGAAAAACATGCCAAGTACCCTTTTACCGGAGGAAAAGGAAAGCGAGGAGGGAAAGGGTGAAGGGAATTGAGTTCGAACTTAGAAAGTGTCGAAGAAATGCTTCAGGATAATATTGTATATCTAGAAATTCAAGTATTTCCCAGATGGAGGGGAACCCGGTAGTTGGGAAAATGAGCTGAAAACGCTTCCTCAAATGCTAGTTATCTGTCAGTCTTGCCCTACCCTTCCCTTTGTTTCCCTTTTCTTTCCTGGCTTGGCTTTGGCAACCGCATTAGCCATTACTTTCTGCATAAAATATGCAAGACGCCTCCATCCCAAGCCAAAGATCAGAAAAGAGAACGGTGGTGGGCCGAGACACCGTGAGGGAGGTGGCAAGACCATCACCCCTTCCCACCTCGGCTTTCTCCTAACGGGGAAAGCGGCCACAGCCCCACCTGCCTTGCTCCAGCACGCGGTAAACAATCTCACAAACACACCCGCGGCCGCCCGCGCTCTCCATCCGCCCCGCTAGCCGTTTTCTCAGGCCTCCATTCCTCCGCTCTCCTCGGACAGGGCCCCTAACGAAGCTCAGGCTGGGAGGAAAATTGCTATCCTACCCCCTTACCCTTGTTTAAAGAAAAGAGAAGAAAGGATGGAAGAAAAAGAAGCAGCCTCAGGAACCTCGGGGTGATGGGGTGGGGGGGGGTGACTCCCTCCTGCACAAAGCACTAGCGCACACCATTCCCCTCTCTTTGTGTTCTCCGTTGCTTCTGGCCACGTGGTTCAGCTGAGTAAATCGCGCCTGTGGGCTTACAGCCAAGGCCCGAGACCCCAGGAGACTGGGCGAGGGGTTTGTCTTCGGGAAACCAAGAGCTCAGCACAGAGGCGGGAAGCAGGGCCCAGGAAGCGGGAAACACACGTAGAGGCGCAGAGGTTGTGGGTAACAAATACAAAAATATAATTTGGAGAGCTCAAGGTGGGCTTTCGCGCCTGCCTTTCCCCCCAATTCGGAGTAGGTTCCCTTCGGCCTTCCGCGCCGGAGCGCCCCCTGGCGGCAACTTTAGCAGCGGGCAGCGCTCGGAGGGCGCGGGGAGCTCCCAGGGGACTCCCGGGCACACTCGGAGCGGCGGGCACGGCACCCTGGTGGTGGCGACGTAGTTATCTGGTGAGCGTCGCCTCGTCCCTCTGGTCCGGCGGGCTAACGGCAGTCTTGCTAAGCACAGCGGCTGAGTAGGGCAGGAAACCGCTCTCGGAACGCGGCGCCGCGGCGCTGCAGCCGAAGTCCGAGCCCCCGGAGGCCCCTGCGGCACCTCCACCGCCCCCGCCGCCCCCGCCGCCCCCCCGGGAACCCAGGGCCGCTGCGGCTGCCGCCGCGGCCGCCGCCGCGGACTGACTACTGTGACAACTGAGGCAAGAACAGGGCGCGGAGCCGCCGCTTGGGGGCGCCCCGGCCGCCGCGGCCGAGGAGGCCGCTGCCGCGGCTGCTGCCGCAGCCGCGGCGGCGGAGGCCGCGCTGTTGAGCCCAGCAGCGGCCGCGGGCGTCTGGTAGAGGCCCGGGTGGCGGAAGCTGCACAGCAGCTCCGGCCGCGAGTAGGGATGTGAGAGGGCGCGGAAAGTGTCCAGAGGTCGGATGGATGTGGCGAAGGGCGAAGAGGCCGCAGCCGCCGCGCCGGAGGCCGCAGCCGCCGCGGCCGCAGCCGTGACGCCCACATGCGGGTAGTAGTGCAGCGGCACGTGCGAGTGGAAGGGATAGGGCAGGCTTCCGGTGGCGGCCGCGTGCGTCATCATGTAGGTGTAGAAGCTGGGGTCGGCCGGGTGCGGCCACGACATGGCCAGGCGCTGCCGCTTGTCCTTCATTCGCCGGTTCTGGAACCACACCTGCAGGAAAAGCCGCGGGGCGGCCAGACTTAGGGAGCGCGCCCAGGCCCCAGCCTCCGCCCCATGCCTCTCCTCCCCTTCCCGGACCTCTGAATGGCCTGCTCTACCCCCTCCGACCGAGCTGGGCCCCACTCCCCGCTCTGCTTTCCCAGCTGGGACACTGTGGGCGGCAGCTGTGGGCCACGGTGAGCACACCCTCTTCAGCAAAATGAATCTCGCCTGTGTCCGACTGCTGAGGCTCGGCAGGCTTCTGCTCTTTTAGCTGCGTTTTCTCGTCCCAACCCACCCTTTCCTCTCCTTCCCACCACCCACCGTTGCCCAGCCTCGCTGAGCACCAGATTCTCATCTCAGGATTTACATGGGGATTCTAGGCCGCCTTTGAAGAGAGGCTACCACTGCAGCTTTTCTGAAAGGTCGCTGCGCGATATCCTGAACCTCTGAGCTGCGAGGACCTGCCTCGAGGGGCAAGGGTCCGCTTAGTATATTGGAGGGATGATTTTGTTAGAATCGTTTGCCTCAGATGAGTGACAGAAGCAACATTCTCTTAAACTGGGAAGGGGACTTTTCTACCCCTCCCAACACAGTATCTAATGAAGACATCATTCGTCACAACTCTAAATTAAAGAAAACCCGATCAAACCAAAGGGGGACTTCCACACCCCTCCTCTATCCCGTGGAGTTTCTTATTCTCTTTTTCTAGAGTGTCGGATCCTCCGTGAAGTGTTCACCAAGTCGCCCACCTCCCGGCTATCTCTCCCAGACGTATAATAAAATTAATCGCCTACAGATACATAAGTACGCACAATTTCGTTGCATTTTCCTCCCCTCCCCCAAGAGGCCGTCTTTTTCCTGCTCCCCGGGAGAAAAATGTTGAGGAAACTACTTTCTTAACCCAATCGACTGTTAAAATACAGTGTCCTTTACTCTGGAGTTAACGATTCACGTGAAAAATAAATCTCCAATCAAGAGCAAATGAAAAGTTTCACCTCTGGTGCTTGCCACAGGAACAAAGACCAACCGGCTTTGCAGCCGAGGGGAAAGTGGGGCCATAAACTTGGACTAGGGGCGCCTAGGCAGGCGCTGGGCAGAATCGACCAGAAGTGAGCGTTTGCGGCATCGGCTCTGCAATTTCGCGGCCTTCCCAACTCAGCCAGGCTAGCCAATCCTTCCGCAGCTGAGAAATAAATATGCCAATTCCTTTGCTGACTTTTAGCTAAATCTAGCCATCCAAAAAGGAATAAGGAAAAAACAAAATCAACCCATACACCCCCGGGGAAGCTAGACCAGGCGCATGCTGGCACCGCTACCTTGATGGTGGTTTCAGGCAGGTTAAGCGCAGCTGCCAGCTCGCACCGGCGAGGCCGCGACACATAGTTCTCCCGGTAGAACTCCTTCTCCAAGCGCGCGATCTGTTCGCGTGTGAACGCCGTGCGGTAGCGCCGCACCTGATCTGCGCCAGAGCTGGAGCCGCCCTGCGCCGCGCCCCCGCCGCCTCCATGCAGGCTGCCAAGGCCGGAGCCCGACGCAGACGTCGCGGTGCCCGCGGCTGAGCCGCTCTCCGCATACCCTGGGAAACAAACAGTCACCAAACGCATGAGTAGGACCGAGATTCCGGCGGTGGGGCTACGAGCGGTTGGGGGAATCCGGGAGAGGAAGGCGAGGCGCAGCCTGAATTGATGGGGTCTGTCATGCTTACAGATAGCTGCTGTTAATGGAATCGATAAAGTTTGGGGAGCCCTTCATAACCAAATAATAGGAACTCAATTAAGGAGGGTTTTTTAAAAATAATTGGAACTGTTCAACTCAGAAGGAAAATGGGCCAAGAGAAAAAATGCCTACCTCTAGATGCAGTTTGGGAAGCTCTGGGTTTGCCAGGGTCTGGAGACCGCAGAGCAGCTTTCTGTATGGCCTTTAACCTTTTTTTGACAGTCTTTCGGGTTTAGTTAAAAATATTTTAAGAGTGGAAAGACAGCAGCAGCTCAAACGGGAACCATTAGAGGGTGGACTCTACTTCTCAGCTCTTTTTCTTTCACTGACCCAAGTTGAGTCTCCCAGAAGTGCCCAGTGAGGTTTCCTGCGACTTATTTAGAATGCCCCCTCCACTCGGCCTTGCCGCGGACTTCAGAGCAGATGTCCACAGCACCCTTCCCCTAGTGCAACCGGACCGGCTTTTAGACCCGCGCGCAGAAACATTTTATCGGACTCAGGGGTGCCAAGGCAGGCAGTTGGGCGGGCCTGGCGCCGCGGGCCTGTAGCTCGCTGGGAGAGTCAAGGAGCAGGGCCGGGAGAGCACGGTCCTCCGCATTCGCCCCAACCCCGCCGGGGCCAGCTCAGTGGAGCTTGCTGACGGAGGGCTCCAGAGGGGCAAAGGCACCAAGAAGGATTGGCAGGGGCCAAGGAGGAACAGGGAGTATGGGACTGGGGAGCGCGGCGCCGACAGCGCATTACCTTTGCCGTTGGTTTCCTTGAGAGGCGCGGCGCCAAGGCCGCCGGGGGAGCGCAGCGCCGAGCAGCCCACCTCCACGTCGCTGCTCATGTCTGCTTCTGCGGCCGCCTCTGAATAATGGCCCAGCTTTTTGCGGCCCTCGGCGGCGGAGGCGATTTCGGATGAGACGGTGCTTTCGCTGCCCGTGTGCTGCAGGTTGAACAAAGTGTCTATTTCGAATTTGCCCTTGGCGGGGATGTCTCCCAGAGCGCTGTGCAAGGGGGCTGACGGCAGGCGCGGGCTGAGGCGAGCTGGGTGCTGTGAATTTTCCAGGGCCTCGAGCACAGCATTGCCAGCGGAGTCGGACAAATTGGAGAACCTCTTGCCGGCCGTGGGGCTGTGCAGCCCTCTCTCCATAAGAATCATCTCTTTTCTTATTCTTTCCATCATCTCAGCTTTCTAAAAAATGTCACAGTGGCCTGGCTGTCCCGTCCTAATGATGGGCTGCTCCTAGGGCTAATTCACATTCAGCCCCAGCGAGCGCCTCTAAATATTATTATCTCTTTTGGAGGGAGGCGGAAAAACTGTGGGATGCCAGAGCGAGGGAATGACTGGTCAAAATGACCCATACATCCCTCCGAGCCCGAAATGTCATTCATCAAAAAGTAGCTCTCGCTCGTCATTAAGGTACGAATGACGCTGTTCGAATAATCATTTATTGTAACAGGTTTATAAGCAAATAAATACACGCTCCTGTCAGTGGGTAATGAAGGCGGCTTCGGAGCAGACAAATAGATCCAGGTAGGAGGCGAGAAGAGACAAGAAGTGAGGAGGACGGCTCCGGTCCTTTGCAGGCTCAGAGCCGGTTCTGCTCGCCCGGGGGGTTGGCCTCGGGGGTGAAATTGACAGTCTGATTAATAGAGCGCGCCGCGGCACATTTCCCCCTTCATTTAGGGGCATCATTACGCTCTCAGTTTGCTGGGTTGCCCCTTAGGTCCTAATCATGCAGCTCCTTATTCATTTTTTCTCGGACACAGATACGTGTTAAATAATAGATAATGCTTTGATTTTCCGGAGTAGATCTTCGGGAAGGTCTTTTTTTTTTTTTTTTACCATTTACAAGCGGGAGGGGAAAGTGGGGGGAAGGATGTACGAAGAGTTGCGTAAGGAGAGGACCTTGCGCTCCTGTCTGGGTTACTTATCTTTCGAATTTCAGAACCAAATATGTGTTTTATTTAACAAATAGGACAACTGAGTTCTCTCTCTCCCCACTTCACCTCAGCCTGGCGGCTCTCCTCCCACTCCAGAAGAGAGACGTGGGGGGAGAGAGACAGAGACAGAGACAGAGACAGAGGCAGAAAGAGATCTTAAGAGTTTTGAGAGCACTTTAGGGCTACGTGGCTGGGGTGGTGCGCTGGGCCCGCGCCTCCAAACGGAAATCATTAGGTCCTCTCTCGTTTTTTTAACACCGTTTGCAGAGTGAGTTCTGAACTTGAAGTCCCGGATTTTTACGTTTATAATCCTGCTGATGGATAGGCTTCTTGCCTACGCATTTTCCCTGGGGAAATGAAGTCGGCTGGACAATTTCATAGCGGAATTCGACAGCTAACTTAAAACCCAGTCGCGATTTATGGCGCCACATGGGCCGCCCCAAATCCACTTTTTACGTTACCAGCTTTCCCCCTCCCTCCTCAAATCGAATTATTTGTAGCAAAATTGCCGGATTTTGAGATCAAAGGGGGGAAATAAGAGACAGTCTCCTTCTCCTGCCATACTGCTGCCCTCCCTTCCCCACTCCGCTCTTCTTCCTGCCCTCACCCGCCACAGCCCCTTACCTTGTGGCCTCCAGTATTCCCCGCGCTGAGTCGGGGTGCGGAGAGTCGTGGACCAGTCTTGCTGCTGCTCCTCGTGGCCTGATCTTGGAGGCTGAACCTCTTGGCGATAACTTTGATGGTCATAATGACGCCGGTGGCAACCATTTTAACGAAGATCAATCTTCACTCAAGGCCGTTGCACGTCTCCTCCCGCGCTTGCGCCCGACCCCGCCCGGCCCCCCAGTGCACTGTGCGGGTCCGCCCGCCAGCAGCTCAGAGCGAGAGATCCGCGGCCACAAGTGGTGAGAAGGGAGGCTAGAGACTGGACACGGAATCCAGCCTGAGAGCTTCCAAAGCAGCCGAAAGACCCTGGCAATCTGGAAGCTGGGCTCAGGTCCTGCATTTTCAACTCGGCTCCAACCCAGACCCCAACCCAAAGCCCCCCTTTTCCTCCCCGCCGCCACACCCAGCACATGGGGTGTGTTAGGGGCAAACCCAGAATCTATTTGCCCATCTTTCTGTTGGCGCTTTCCTTTTAACCTTGGACCCGTTGGGGGCGCGTCAGGAATGTAAGAGAGGCGAGGTGTGAAGTATATTTATATACATTTATGCACATAGTGAATGCCAAAAGTTTCTCTCCTGTTCCCCTCGGCGCCAACTTGTTTCAACAATGCTAGCTTTGCTTAGAAAATTAATTCCACCTCTTTAAGGTAATAAACGGAATTCTCCCCCAAGGTGAGAAATGGAAAGAAAGCTGGATAGGCAGCGGTGGCTAGGGGGTTGAGGAGGGGACGCGGAGTGGGCGTCCGGAGCCCGAGGAGTTCTTGACCCAGCGTTCACCTCTGCTCCTTTCCCAGAGGCCACCCGACTCCAGCCCCTAGGATCCCGGCCATTAACGCGGTCAGAGCTCAGTGGTGCTGATGCCCCCACCTCTCCCTCCCTGCTCCGTAGTCTGAGCTCCCAGCTCCACCACCCACTGCAGGCCGCGTACAGCAGAGGGAAGCCGCTGTCCCAGGGACCAGGAAAGGGCACCCCCCTAGTTCCACTTGCTTAGGGTATTGAGTGGGTCACCGTGGTCTTGGTTCGGGCCCGTGGGGGGCCAAGCCCAGGCTGGGGGTGAGATCGGGCGGAGGCGCAACCTGAGCGGAAGTCGCTGATGCCTTTATTGCTGTCGTTTGGCGCCCCCGTCTGTTTTCCTCGCGGTTTCAGCGGCTGTGAGAGGCTTTCTAACTTAAAAGCCCCGCTGGGGCCTAGGGTGCAGACAGCGACCGTTCCTCCACCCATCTCTCGGGTCTCCCATTTCATTTTACCTTTGGGACCTAAGTCCCAAAGCCTGCGCCAAACCTGACCTCAGTCTGTTGCAAAGGAGAAACAACATTTCTTGGAGGCACCTTCATTCATTAGTATTTTAAAAAACTATTTGCACCTTTTAAATAACCCTAATATTATAACACATTTATTATGGAAAGTACATTGGAGACCACCTCCGGGAAACTTCGCACAGTAAAAGACACCTATAATTTTTCCACCAAGCTGCGTTTAGCAGATAACTTTTCATGGGAAACAGTGAACATTCCATTACTACATTTAATGTCTCTTAAATTTTAGATTCCACACCTACTAATAGTAGTAATATTGACCAACTTGTGTGTGTGTGTGTATGTATGTGTGTGTACTTTCATTCTGAAATTACAAGTTCTTTTTACATAAATTACCTTGTCTAAAGCTTGCAGCAACTCCAGAGATCAATGCTATTATTGCCCCTTTTTTAGAAATGAGAAACCTTCCATATGTAGAGTTTGGAAGACTTCCTGGTGATTTAAATTGGTTATCTATGACAATATGAGTTACAAGGTGTTTAAAAGCTTCAGATGCATTTTTGGTTAATTTCTTATTTTGCATATGTCTTTTTAAACTGAGGCCCAGCACAAAGCTTTGAGCTTATACAGAGAATAGTGAGAAGAATAACACAGCTGTTGTGTTCATTAATCAAATGCCCAAACCTTGCAACTTTACCAGATTGTCAAAGCTGAGGCTGGGAATAGGCCTGTCTCATGACCCGAATTTTTAGATGAAGCCTCCCAGCCATTAAGGCCTCCTATCTACTACCAAGGTACAGGACCCACTCCATAAAATAAGACAAGAACCCAACCCATGCCAGCATGGTTTGGCAGGAATTTTTAAGATGCATTGGGGGTGCCGGTACAGGGAGCACTTTCTCCAATTGGACTGAAGTGATTTTTGCTCAAAAGGAGCAATTACATGTAAGAGTCTTAAATTTTTATGTTAGGCCTCTAGACTAAATGTTTGTTTCTTGAGCCATGGCCCGTCCTCTGGGGTGAAGTGGTAAACACTTTTGGCTTTCTACTGAAGGTAATAAAAATCTGTCCAGGTTGCTGGAGGGTTGGGGTAGGGGGTAGGGTGCCTGTAAAGCTGGAGCTGCGTGGGAGCCCCATGTCTGCCCGACCTGGCTCCAGTCTTACGCGCAGCAGGCTCCTGGCCAATCAGGCCAAAATCTGCAAGTAAGCATCAGGATGTAAGCTCACTCGAGGACCGGGGGCACTGGGTGTGGTGGGACAGCAGGATGGCAAGAGCCTGGGCTTTAAGCCCAGGTACATTTTCTTTAAGCTAAGAATGATTCCCTGGCTTGAAGATTTCAGTTTTTAAGAGAAGACACGGGTTTGACGATTCTAGGCCAGACTCTGTATTGACAACTTTTTGCTGCCACCCCTGGCAGGCCGGTGCTCCCACTCTCTTGTCTCTTCCAGGACTCTCTGGTTGTTTCTAGTCCTCCTCCTCTTTTCCCCTACAATCTGGTGCCCCACCAGGGACAACCATGGGTGGGGGTGGAGGATATTTTCTCCCTAGACTCTTGGGGCTACCCAGAGCTGCCTGAAGCTCGTGCACCCTCAAATGCGACAGGAAAACTTGCAGGGACATCTAGCGCCAGGCCTGAGGAACTGCGCACCACCCAGCCTGGAAGCTAAGCCTGACCAATTGGCCCTCCATCTCCCTCCCTTCAGCCCTCACTCCCACCCCTTTCGCTTCCTGGTTAGGCATTCCTCTAACCTTCATCCCTTCCCCCTGCCAGTGATCGGTAGATTTCCCAAAGGGACAGCAGCCTGTGCAGAATGGAAAGAGAAAGAGGGACATTTATTTTCTCTCATCTGGAAGGGCCAACAGAGAGAGGGCTTCAGTTAACAATGACAGTGCTAGAGAGGTGTACTCCCAGGACAACTCTGCACCTTGAGATGACAGAGAAAACAGAGGAAAATTGTTTGCAGTCCCCGTTTTTGTTCTGGGGAAAATTCAACAAATTATTCTTGTCCTCCAGCTCTGGGCACACCCTCTGGTGCCCCTGTGAGTGAGATTAGGGCTTCTCTGAGAAAGAAGACTCACTGTGTTTAATTCACATCAGGACTGGAGGCATTCTCTCCATCCCAAACAAGGAACTGCTGCTCTGTGGGAGGCAGATCTTGTTTTATCAAATAATGCTTCGGGTTTGGAGTGGCTTTTTGTAGTTTTTGCAAACAATTTACATTTAATGAAGCCTAATTGTGTTGTTAAATAAATGAAATACATCTCAGGCAGAGAAAGTGCCTAAACTTGGGATTCCACTGTCTGGCTTTTGCTAGAGACCCCTCTCTTTACCCCAGGTTTGTTGTTAATCCTTTTGATATTTCCAGCAAAATATTGGCTGCTCACTGCCAAGGGAAATCAGCTCCAAAATTGTCAGGACACAGGTTTCTCCAGCCAGTTCCACTGGATTTAAGACTTTACTTCAGAATTAAAGCTTTATTTCGACACTGAATTTTTGTCTAGGTTAATTAGGAGGGTGTCCTGCATATCCTGGTGTGGCCATCAAGGAAAACACTTCCAAATGAGTCTCCAGGAACCCACTCTGATAGGACCCGGTGATTGTTGTCCTGGCCCTAATGAATTGAGATCATTGGTGTCTTAGCAAGCAGAGGAACTTATGTTCTTCGTAAGTCTAAATCACAGCCTGCATTTACCCATTGCCGAACCCAGGACAGGAACATTACTTGAAAGATCATCTATAAGGAAGAAAAGAGGGTATGTGACTTCAAAGCATCGATTTCCCAAAAGGTGCTTGTGGAGGGAAAGGAGGGAGTGGAACGAGAGATGGGACAGGAGGGCAGAGCTGATCTGTCTCTCTCTGATAAACTGGGACTTTGGGCAATGAAGGACCATCTTGAGTATAACCAAAATCAGGAATGGTGGCAAAACAAAACAGGTTTCAGTGAATAACACATCGGTGTTTGGAGACATTTCTGGTTGCAAAAGATTTTCCTTTAAGACTCTCTGTTGTTAAAGTCCTAACGTAATATACCCACATACATATACAGGGTTTAGTCTGTGTCTCTGGCCAGTTAAAGAAAATTATTCCCATTAAGTTTACACCTGAAATCAACTTGGACACAGGGTATACAAGCTAAATAAAATATTTAAATGAAAATTCAGCCTCAAAATTCCCCCATTACCTATCATCCCAGGCTTTAAACTATGTGTCCTATTAGTTTGTAAACACAGCAGCCCTGACTCTGCCTGGTGCTCTACTACAACTCTGTGATCCAACAGCAGCAGCTGTCCTGGGGCACTGGGTTTAGGGGCCATCACAGGGTCCAGTCAGAGCCTCTTTCCGGAGGGGAATTCTCTCTCCCAGAGCCAGGACCTGAAAGGCTGTACTGAAAGCAGGTTCAGCAGAAGGATAGCAAAAGGCAATGCTCCTTAATGTTCAAAACCTCCCAGGTCTCTGGACACCTGTTAGAATAGGCAGAGAAGCCCCGAGTCCTATGAGAGTCCCACTGGAAGGCAACTGGAGGTATGACCACCACTGAGAAGTAGTTTCAATCAGAGCATTAATTCAGACTTTGTTCCCAGTTCCACAAACTTAATTTGCTGCATGGAAAATGAAGCCAAAAATGAAAGGCTGTCTGATAACAGCAAAACTTGACAAATTCTTCCTTCATATCTTAATTTCATTTTCTTCATTTTTTAGCATATAATCAGTTATTAAGATGTATTTATCAGCTAGAAAATGGCACAGAGGTCCCTGGGCATAAAATCACAGGGACATTTAGTTTTAAGAGAACTGAAAATTTGTTGGTGACAGTTACGTCTCAGAACTATTTCAACAAATTTGATTTTTTGAGGCCACAGAAAAAAAATGTAAGAGTATCTCCTTGTTTTCCCTCTCTGAGAAAAAGAAAGGGAGACACTAGAAGAATAAGAGCATTTCAGGGTAGCAGCCCATGACTGCTTTGGTGCTGGAAAGTCAGCAACTCTGTCAGTTGGTTTGGGCTGGCATTTTTTAAATGTCAATCCAGCTTCCGTTGCTAACTTTTGCCTTCTCTCAAATAGTCAAAACTGCTCTCACCAGGAAACTTACATTCCCTATGATTTTCTGCAAAGGCTTAGATCCCTCCAGTCTTGAATTTGATCAGAAACACACCTAAGACTTCACAAAGGTCAAACAAATTCTCCTGCTTTTTCTTTCCAGCGCCCCTCTCATAACTTTCCCCTTTATTTGAGCCTTTTATGGTTACGGTGTTTTGCGTGTCAACACTCCTAACACCAGGAGCCCACCCTGCAATGCCAGGCAAGGCCCAGGAGGGCCTTCCTAGCTTTTTACTTGCCCTATCAAGGTCCTGTCTCCATCCATGAACAATGGGACTAGGTGACAAATTGGCTCCAATAATCACAGGCTCAGAGATTTTCATGGGCTGACCTGGGGAGCAGATGATACAGAATCAAATGGGCTCACTCTGAGGTCTTCTGCACCCTCCCTAGCACCCTCTGCTCTTCAAATCTATTGTTACTCCGAAGGTGGAGCTTTAAATGTACCTCGGGACTCACACTGGCTCTCCATTAAGCTAAAATGAAGGATGGTGGGCTGGGGCTCTGTGGCTGAGGACTGGCAAGAAGGGATGAAGCGGGGTCAGGACTGTAATCTCTGACACCCTAAAGGGGCTGCCCAGTGCCCACTCTACACCCTCGAAGTCAGACCCAGTTACTCTGAGTTTCTCCTATCACAAGACCCAACCTTGCTTGGAAAAAATGCCCTTTTAGTTTGCCCTACTCAGTTCTCCACAGTTGGCAGCTTGGAAAAGAAAGCGAAACAAAGGTCCCTGGGAAAATGAAGTTTTCAATTAATTGGTGTGAGCAACGGGCGGTGGTAGGTGACGGCTGCAAAATACAAGAAGCCGTTCGCTGCAGGCGACGCACAGTTTCTCCGCGGGCAGCAGAGTGGCCTTCTCCAGGCGCCTTCTACAGGGTCTTTCTGCATACCGCGGGAGGATGTGCCAGGGGTAGGGAGCCCAGCTTGGGAGGCAACGGCTCGAGGGCCTGAGTCGCAGAAGTGAATAACGTAGACCAAGAATCCGGAACTTTTTCGCTGGGACAGATCATCAGTTTCGCAGCACTGAGGCCAGGTCTTTTCGTCTGCTTGACTTAGTTGTAAGTCTCTGACCCAGCCCCAGGGGCGTTTTGTGGGCATATTCCGGGCGGACGGTGTGTACAGGGAGGATCTAACTCCAACTGGTCTTAGTTCAGAGGATCCCCTGGGAAACAGGCATGAAATACCTTTACCCTATAGCAATGCGCAAAATTAGCTCCCTCAGGTTTGGGGGCTGAGGGATTAAGCAACAGGATCAAAAATCGATGTTTTCATATTCTGACCAACTCTGTCCTTCGCCTTCATTTGGTTGTGCAGCTTGGGGAGCCGAGAAGAGGTGCAAAAACAGCCGTAGCCGAGACAAGGCGCAGGCCTCGGCGCCCGCCTCAGTCGCAGACAGGGCCTAGGATGGGCGGTCGCGCAATCAGCTCGTGGGGGTTGGCTGCGGCGCAAACGCCTGGATTCGGGGGAGGATGGGCCGGGGCGGTGGGCTGCGCCAGGGGGCTCGGGAGGGGTAGGGGCCGGGGTGGGTGGGTCCAGCCAGGCCGGGACCCAGAGCCAAGCTCTCCCGCGCCCCCACCCCCACGTGGCCCCGCGCAGCCAATGGCACGGCCCCGAGCGGGAGCCCTGCGTGAGGAAGGCGGCCCCCCGACCGGCCCAAGCCCCCTCCCAACCTGAACTTCGTTTTTATAAACGTCCCACGATGAGCTAACCTGTTGGAGGGCGGGCCGGCTGGAGGCGGGAGGCTCGCAGAGGGAGAGAGGGCAAGAGGAAGAGGGCGGGAGCGGGAGAACGGGAGAGAAAGGAGAGGCGAGAGGAGGCTCGCCGCGCCATGGTGTCCTGCGCGGGGCCGGGGCCGGGGCCGGGGCCGGGCCAGGCCGGGCCATGAGCCGCGCCGGGAGCTGGGACATGGACGGCCTGCGGGCAGACAGCGGGGCCGCTGGGGCGGCCCCCGCCTCCTCTTCCTCCTCTGTGGCGGCGGCGGCTCCGGGCCAGTGTCGCGGCTTCCTCTCGGCGCCAGTGTTCGCCGGGACACCCTCCGGGCGTGCGGCGGCTGCGGCGGCAGCGGCGGCAGCGGCGGCGGCCTCGGGCTTCGCTTACCCGGGGACCTCTGAGCGCGCGGGCTCCGCCTCGTCGTCGTCATCTTCTGCTGTGGTCGCAACGCGCCCAGAGGCTCCCTCCGCCAAAGAGTGCCCGACGCCCGGGGCGGCCGCTGCAGCGCCCCCGGGAGCCCCAGCTCTGGGCTATGGCTACCACTTCGGCAACGGCTACTATAGCTGCCGCATGTCACACAGCGTGGGCTTACAGCAAAATGCTCTCAAGTCGTCGCCGCACGCCTCGCTGGGAGGCTTCCCGGTGGAGAAGTACATGGACGTAACGGGCCTGGCAAGCAGCAGTGTACCGACCAACGAGGTGCCCACGAGAGCCAAGGAGGTGTCCTTTTACCAGGGCTACACGAGCCCCTACCAGCACGTGCCTGGCTATATCGACATGGTGTCTACCTTCGGCTCCGGGGAGCCTCGGCACGAGGCATACATCTCCATGGAGGGCTACCAGTCCTGGACGCTGGCCAACGGGTGGAACAGCCAGGTGTACTGCACCAAGGACCAGCCACAGGGCTCACACTTTTGGAAATCATCTTTCCCAGGTAGGGAAAAAGCTGAGGACAGGAGGAAGGGAGGGAGAGAGAGAAAAAAAGAAAGGACTAGGAGTGTATGTGCCTACCTGAGATTGGTGCCTGTCCTGCTTGCCCGAACAGGGTTGCCCCCAAAAGAATAGTTCCTCCCATTTGCATGAAGTCTGTAAATTCCTCCTTTGATTTAAACTACCTTTCTCACACTTCCCTACTTGTTTGCAGGCACAGGCCTGATTTCCTCCTAAAGTCGAGGGTCTTTTTGTGCACTCTGCTCAGGCCTTGGCTCCTTCTCCCAGAGGTGTCACAGAGTTGGGCCCCAACGTTTAAGTACATGGTGGCTCCAGAATGACCACTAAAGCTTCCAGGAGTTGAAAAGCTCCAAACACAGAACAAGAAATGAGATCTTGAACAACCAACCTGGATTAAAAATCTATGTGTATTTGAATATGCGCAATCGGCATTTGCAGAAACTTTGTCCTTATGAGCGTCCCCAATAACAATGCCATAAAATCAAAGGCTTGTTAAGATGTCGGTTTAAGAAACCATCATGATCCATCAAAACTGACCTATGCTTTGAAGTGTGAATAATCTTTCTTTAATAATGTGTGAATAATATGTCTGTGTAAGTATACAGCGTAAGCACCTTCGTTTTACCTATTCCCCAAACCCCCTCCAAACGAAACACACGGAGCCCCAGACCGGTGCTCCAGATAAATAGTTCTAATTTTTCCCGTGCTATTTTTTTATACCAGGGGATGTGGCTCTAAATCAGCCAGACATGTGTGTCTACCGTCGGGGGAGGAAGAAGAGAGTGCCCTACACCAAACTGCAGCTCAAAGAACTGGAGAATGAGTATGCCATTAACAAGTTCATTAACAAGGACAAGCGGCGGCGGATCTCGGCTGCCACAAACCTATCCGAGAGACAAGTGACCATTTGGTTTCAGAATCGAAGGGTGAAAGATAAGAAAATCGTCTCCAAGCTCAAAGATACTGTGTCCTGATGTGGGCCAGATTGACCCTGAGACTTTAAATGATTTCTGTTGTCTCAAAAAGACTTGAATATGTATTTAATTCCTCCCCAGCCCCCCGCCAGTGAAGGCAAATTTTGTGAATTGTTTTTCTTTCTCCCTCTAATGTCTCTAATACTTTCTGCTGCCCAACCTGACTTTGTAGTTCTGCTTTTCTCTTGTTTATTATTGATTTTGTTTTGTCTAGGTTTTTTTTTAATGATGTTTTTAATGTTCTGTTTCTCCCTTCAGGCCAGTATAAAGGACTTGAAACATTTTTTAATAATCCCCCCAAATGAGTTTCAGAATTGCCATTCTGATTTTAGGGTTTTATTTTTTTAAAAATAATTTTATATATGCCTGTCCCCAGCACTGATTATCTTCATAATCCATTAGGGCAGAACGATTTACAGTCATTCACATCCTGTGATTGGGTGATTTAATCATTAGTTCTCAGCAGTCGCCCTGAGGAAAGTGGAAACAGCTCTGGGCAGGCAGTACTTTAGGGTCACTGGGAAAGCCTAAAAACAGGCAACTGGAGGTACTGTGATAGCTTTAAAAGCAGTTTCCTTATTAAATAGGGTTTGTATCCATATTGGAATGAAGACAATCTTTCCGACTTGGGGTCTTTCACTTGCTGTTTTATTTGTTTAATACACCTTGTCAATTTGTGTTTTATAATCTTTAAGTTGAAAATAATGATTGCCTTCATTTCCCCAGCTCTAGATGCAGATATCTAAATGACTGTGGTTGTCAGAGTGACCCGTGGGTGGTATAAATGTACCCCTTCTCCTAAGCAATGGATCTGTGGGACTAAAATTGAGAGTAATCTCAGTCCCCTGAAGAGGCTGAATCAATGTGGCCATGGGTGGGAACTCTTATCCAGACCCCAATGTAGAACTTGACTGTCTGTCCATATGTATTGAAACTCTCATGGAACTTCAAAGTATCTAACAAATGCGAAAACGTGGAGCTCTAAGATCCAAGAAGAAAAAATAGTATTTCTGAAAGTGATGATAAATAACTACTTTTAAAGTGCTGCATATTTATACAACTGAGATTATTTTTGTAGATGCAATGTCTGTGAGCTGGGATAGTTGGGCAGTGCTTCAGGCATTTAAAAATCACTTTTTACTCCCAGGGAGATGCAAATAAACAGAACTGTCTGGTTTCTTCTGTGTCTTTATACATTTGTTTTCTTTTTTCAAGTTTGTGTTGCCTCTAAAAACTTTTTATTTATTATAAAATCTTATGATTTTATAAAATCTTATGAACACTATGATGTTCTATGAAGATGAAGGAAACTCAACACCAGTCTGGTCTCTCCATTTTCCTGCCCTTTCCCCCATGGCTTTAACATAAGCAGTGGATGTCTTTAAATGAGGATATAATTTGTGGTGTCCAAAATGGTATTTTTTACCCAACCAGCTCAAAAACTTCTCCAATAAAATTTTACTTCTTTCAGTATCAGTTTATTCAAATAGTTTTTGAATCAACATGGGTGTATGTTCTCAGGTACAAGAAAATGTGCTCACTTGAGGGTTTTCTTCCTAAAAGGGCTGCTGTAAATATCTACTCTAGGAAGGTCTTGAAATTATACATATCCATGTTTGTCAGTTCAAAAGAAGAGTCATTTCGGGCTTATCCCTTATCTACTTTTCCGCAGCCTGCACATAGCAGTTGAAGATTGAAACCATAATTATACACCATAAACCTCTAGACGCAATTTTTAGGCACTATGAACTTTCTTTTTGAGGCTTTTTTGTCAACCAGGGAAACGGCCGCTGAGGACCTGGGTGCCTTGTCGTCGTTGGCTCTGGAGAGCAGTCCGTTTAGTCAATGCTAACTTTTTGGTATGTGAGTCAGAGATTTAAAACCTCATACAATATGGAAACTCTTCTGGCGGGAGGCCTCCCTTACGGATCGGCCAGAGAAGGCGCAGAAACTCAAGGTCCAAAGCTACTTTCGTTTTCTCTCTCCAGGCTTGATTTCTTTCGTATCTTGCAACCGTCTGCGGGAGGCCACCTTCGTTTTAATTCGAGGGACAGAAACAGAGAAGAAAAAGAAAAGTGACCACGATTGATTCCATCTCTGGAGAAGAAATAACCCCTGAAATAAGGTCCCAGCAATCCCCGACCTTTCCCCTTCATAAATAGTCACTAACATTCTCTTTTTTTCACATGATGTGTTTTCATCTGAAGCGGGCCTGTGGTCTCTTCTCCTCCTTGGTGGTTTTACCCCTTCTTTTTTGTAAATTCCCGACTCCAGTGCCGTACACCATTCCCAGGTCCTTCTCTGAGGTTTCCTGTCGTGGATCAGGGGGATTGCCGCCGAGGTCTCCTTTCATCTGTGGTTGGCGGGTCAGTTTCCCTCCGCCTAAGAGAAATGGGAGGTTTGTTGAAGATTGAAACTGCGCTCAAACGTTTTCCGGTGGAATTTGAATTGACGGCTAAATCAATAACAGATGAATACTTTATTTATATGCATTCCTTTTATATTCCGAATTGAGGTAGGAGAGGAGTGGGTAGGTGGCCGAAGCGCTGGAAGGGGGGCCCCCCCGCAGAGAGCCGCGAGGCGAAGGAGCTCTGGGGAGAGGCTGTTCTTCCCGGTGGAGATTAAGAGGCCGCAGGGAGAGCGCCCCCAAACCTGGCAGGTTTCGAGCGCGACTGGTGGAGAATCAAGGCCCTAGCGTCTGCGCGTGATTCAAGAAGCAAAGGAGGCTTTGGCACCAGGACGCACCGCCAGACAAAGGGGCCGCCACGATGCTTCCCCGTATTTGGCAGCATGCTGTGTCCCTCTGGCTCTGCGGTCTCTACCAGCCCTGCTACTACGATCTCCCGCTTTCCGAGATATCCAGCAGAGCCTGGCAGCGGGCCGTGACCGCACGGGCTTGGCGACCCCGGTCCTGCTGCGCCGCCCTTCACTGTTGATCTTGACCGTGCGGAGGCGCCTCGCCAGGCGTGGAGCTCGCTCGCCATCTCCTGGGCGGTCGGCGGCATTGGCAGAGCTCGCCTTTGGCTCTCGGCGAAATCCTCCAACTCACCAGCCAAGTCTCTTGCCCCTCCCCCACTTGCCGCCCTCTCTACCCCCGCCCTCTCTTTTCCCCTCCCTCTCCCCCCTTCCCCTCCCTCTTCCTGCGTCCCCTCCCTCTTCCTGCGTCCCCTCCCTCTCCTCCCCCTCCCGCCTTCACCCTCCTCGTCCCTCTCTCTACCCCTTCCCCTCCCTCTCTCTCACCCTTCCCCTCCCTCTCTCCTACTCCCTCTCTCTCCCCCTTCCCCTCCCTCTCTCCTCCCCCTTCCTCCTCCCTCTCTCCCCTCCCTACCCCCCATCTCCTCCTCCCACCCTGTCCCCAGCCCTCCTGTCCCCAGCTCCCAGCTCCCAGGTCCGTGCATATAACTTTGCTGGCCCTAGAAAATTATGAACCCAGGAGATGAGGTGGGGCGGCTGGGCACTATTCAGAGCCAAGGAGAAATGGGAGTCTAGTTCTAGTCTTTCCTGTATCTCACTTAGTTCCTTTATTTCTTTGGTCCCAACGGGCAATCCGCAGGTGTGCGGCTACCTAAGGATCCGGAGAAGTCACTTCTGGACTTGGAAATACTGGAGAATCGCTGTATACTGAGAAGTGGGGAGAGAAAGCTGCAGAAACCCCTGGAGCTGGTGCTTTAGGCCCAGGGAGGTTGTAGCTCCTCGAAATCAGGACGAGTTTCCCAAAATGAGACTCTGGGTCCCCTAAGTCTCTAGGAGATGAGGATGCAGCTTGGGCATACACTTTCCATGAAAGGATGCGAGTGGAGTGCGTCTACTCCTGAGCTAATAAGGGAGCTCTAACAGAGCCCTGAAGAGCCCCGGACTTGCCCACCCCCACCCAACCCGGGAGGAAGAGGCTGACTGCGTTCCCCTGAGCCGCCCAATTGGTCGCCGTAACACACAATAAAGTCGCAGCGCGGTGGTCAGCCTTGCCCTCCGGCGGCGCCTGTGTGGTCTCCGAGCTGGAACTGGCGGTCTAACCAATTCCAGCTTGGCTCGCCGACCGCGAGGCGGGCTGCAAGCTGAGGAGGACGCCATTCACCGGGTCTCTGGGTGACTTTGAACCAAGGCAGGAGAGGATTCTTAGCTCTTTGGCCAGACTAGACCTAGGGCCTGCGGCGAGGGCTGCCCTATTGCTCAGTGCGAAGGAGCGCTGTCCCGTCGGCCTCCCTTTCCCAAGGCCTGCGAACCCTCCAGCGGCCATGGAAACGCAGAGCAGAGGAACGCTGCTAGCCTGCTGCTTCCAACGCTGCTAGTCTGCTGCTTCAGTGTGCCGGGCTGTTCTTGACCAGGTGACTCTGGCTACTCTGTCCTTCCACACCATGTCAGGGTCACTCAGCCTGCTCTACCAGCCTCCTAGTAGATAAACAGCTTGGTGACTCCTGATGATAAAAGGATTGAGCCTTTGGCCACATTGGACAGTGGAGCTGCTTGGTCTCCAGGCAAATATTCTCCGTGGACCTGGGTGGTAACTTCCCTAGGAGCAGAGGGCTTGGCTATGGAGAATCACACCAGGAATGGTGTGAAGCCATCTTCCTGGGCACGAAACTTGGACAGAGTTTGTGATCCTTTCTCCTGGGCGGCAAACCGCTGTGACTGTGCCTGAGGGACTGTTCAGGCAACCTGTGGGTCTTCGCTGCCAGATTACCCCTGCAGAGTTCTCTCCGGAGTAACGCACTGGGGAGGGATGGAATGGGAGTACCATTGCTCAGGCCTAGGGAAGGAGCCCGTTTTTCTGGACACGCCCAGAGGTGCGCAGCACCGTAGAGGCCTTAGCTGCTACTTAAAGCTGGTAGAAGCAAGCCTGACCCAGATAGCCAGCCAAAGGGCCAGGGCGAAGCCAATCAAGCCAAGGAGAGTCCCAAGGGACACTTGGGCAAAAGCACCCCATGCTGGATGCCCCCAGCTCCTGAAGTAGGGTCCTGAAACTCAAAAAGGCTTCACCTTCCGTCAACACACTGGCTCAGGCTGACGGCCTCGTCCTCCACCATCGAATATTGCGGGTGTTATCATAATACTCTAAAGGGGTGGGGGAATACCGGCCTGGGGATGTAGGCGGTGCTGAAATGACCGGCTTTGAAGAACCTGCAGGCAAAGTTTCGTCCAATCGTCTGAGCCTGTCCTCTTATTCCCGGTTGTAACTAAACACTGCTGCTGCGAGCGCAGCCGAAGCCCTTTGTTGGAGATGTGTGAGCGCACTCTCTACAGAGCGGGCTACGTGGGCTCGCTTCTGAATCTGCAGTCGACCGACTCCTACTATTTCTCCAACCTGAGGCCGAATGGCGGCCAATTGGCCGCGCTTCCCCCCATCTCATACCAGCGAGGCGCGCTGCCCTGGGCCACCACGCCTGCCTCCTGCGCCCCAGCGCAGCCTGCCGGTGCCACTGCCTTCGGCAGCTTCTCGCAGCCCTACCTGGCCGGCTCCGGGCCTCTTGGCCTGCAGTCCCTGGGCGCCAAGGACGGACCCGAAGAGCAGGCCAAGTTTTATACGTCCTACGCGGCCTCTGGGTCAGAGGAGCGTGGTCGTTCGCGGCCGCCGTTCTCCCACGAGCGTAGCCTGGCCCCCGCTGCCGCTGCTCTTAAAGCTGCCAAGTACGACTATGCTGGCCTGGGCCGTGCTGCGCGGGGCTCTGCGGCCCTGCTGGAGGGGACCCCCTGTGCCGCTGGCTTCAAGGACGACGTCAAGGGCTCCCTCAACTTGAACGTGACAGTGCAGGCGGCAGGCGTCACCTCTTGCCTGCGACCTTCGCTGCCCGACGGTAAACAGTTGCCATGCTCCCCGGGCCAGTTTGGGCCGGGATGGGAGGTGGGACGCAGGGTAAAATGTGTAGGGGAGGGAGCCGTCGGGGGGTGGGCAGACAACAGGGAGTGGGCTGTGCTGACTAGGGATGGGGCTGTGTTGCAGGCCTGCAGTGGGGGGCGGCCCCGGGGAGAACCCGCAAGAAGCGGAAACCCTACACTAAACAGCAGATTGCGGAGCTGGAGAATGAATTCCTCCTCAACGAATTCATCAACCGGCAGAAACGCAAGGAATTGTCCAACAGGCTGAACCTCAGCGACCAGCAGGTCAAAATATGGTTTCAGAATCGGCGTATGAAGAAGAAGCGCGTGGTGCTGCGTGAGCAGGCGCTGGCGCTCTATTAACACCTCTGGCATGGCCACACTGCCTGGACGGACTTGCCTTTTTGCGCGGAGTCCTGGCATGGGGGAAGAGCTGGAACGTGGGGCTTTCCTTCTGTTCCCTTCACGGCTGTTTCCAAATACTCTCCTGCTCAGTCTGCAGCCCCAGAAGCCAGCAAGAAATTTAAAGACTTGGACAGTTGGATCTCCACGCTCTCTCCGAGGAGCAAGCAAAAAATGCAGCGAAACCTTGGCCTTGAGGCTTCCCGAGTAGGGGCCTGGGTTCACCTGTCCTAGCTGTTGCCTGGGACACTTACACCTGGGGCTCACCCCAGCTCCCTGTACTTGAATTTCTGCTTCCACTTGGTTAGTCTCCTTCTCCCATTCTCCTCTTCCCCCCTTCTCCCCTTCCCAGCCCTTTCTGTATTTAGCGGGCATCTAGCTAGAGCTCAGACTGGGACTGAATTTAGGAAGCCCTCCAGGGCAGAGTGGAAAGGGCTGAGGGCACGATTCTGTCTCTTTGCAGCCAGATCTCCCTGTTGCAAAGCCAGAATCTTAGCTCTGGAGAAAGGAAAGGGCTCCTTCCCCCTCCTGTCTACTCCAGCTGGCTTGGGAGGACCAAAGCTGCCCTAGAACTTCAGACTTCAGGAAGAAAGGGGAGGCGAGGAGAGAGAGAGACAACAAATTCAGAGACACCCTGGAGTTTGGGCTCGGCTTGTCCTTGCAGCTGGGCAGAATGGACTGGATACTTCCTTCCAGTTGATGGGAGGAGGGAGACTGGGGCCATCCAGCAAACTGAGATCTGAGGCAGGACTTGCAAAATTCCCCTACCTCTTCATCTCACACAAGCCTCAGCCAGAGCCCTGCACTCTGCAACCAGACTCATCTCTGGTGAGGAGAGCTGCTAGTCTGCTTTGAGGTTGGGTTGCACTAGGAGGGAAAAATGTCCAGGGGAGGAGAAGGAGTGAACAAAGAGAGGTGAGTCCTGCATTCAGCTGTAAATATGCTTTCCTGTTGAGGTGGATAAAGGTGTTGACAAGTCTCTCTTGAATAACTGTAATGGGTCAACACAAGGAGAGGTGAAATCTCCTCTCCTAGACAACGGGGTGAGGAATGAGGCTTCTTGGCCACTGGGCCCTACTCTTGGCCAAGTAGAGAGGAGCAGAAGTTACCCTCTCCTCACCCTCATCCCCCACTCCAACTCCCCCAGGGACTCCTCTGTCAGCGCCTCAGCCTGTGGGCCCTTTCTGAGGCCATGTTTGGCCTACCTCAGTGGAGACTGTGATGTCCTAGGACCTGCCAGGCTTGTTTTGTGGAGCTGGGGTTCCTGAATGCCAGATGGGGTTGCTCTGGGTGTGCTGGGGTATCCTGCCTTAACCTCAGTGAACCCAAGGGTCTGCCCCAGGCTCCTTCTATCATCTCTGCCTCTTTTCTCTCTCCTTCTGAGAAGTAGTGCCCCCTTCCAACTTGTAGCAAGTTGCACAACAGTCAGCCAAAGAGTTGAAGACTCCTTCCCAAAGTCCAATGAATTATTGCCAGTGGGGGCCTATTCCCTAGATATGGAGTGTGCACCTCACAGGGGCTCTGAGCCTCAGCCCAACTGACCTCAGTTGATGTTTAGACTAACTGCATTTTGTCTGCTAATAGTTGTCATGCATGTTTTGTTTTGTTTTGATTTTGTCAAAAACAATAGCTCATGTATATCAGACCCATTGAAATGTTTTGAGTGGAAATAAATATTGAGGTCCTAGCCAAGCTGTAAAGGGACTGATGATTTTTCAAAAATGTTTCAGACTCCCTCCTATGTTTTTTAGGCCACCACATTCATTTTTCTTTACTAGTTGTGGATTCACTGAAGGTGTTGACTGTTCATTAAATGAGAAAATGGCTTCCAAGTCAGTCAGGAAATGGTGTATAAAAGCTTGTGAACAAAAAGTGTATGAAACATTCAAGGGACGGGGAAACCATGGATAGATTTAAGTGTGTCTCACACACTAAGCAAATCCTCAGCTTGTTGCAAGCTGTGGCTTCTGCATTTTGCCTAAATTTTCAAACTTTGCCTTTATCAGGGGCAGCCAAGATATGAGGTTTCTCACATTTTAATACAGAACATCTCTTCCTGCTATTTTTGGGTAAGACTTCTCTCCAACAGGCTATGCCCTGTAGACATCCTCCAGACTGGTGCCTCTGCCTGGAGCCTAGCAGGCTCTTTTGGGAAATGTGGCTTTCGTACCCCCTAGGCCTTGGGACCCTCTGTCTCAGGCTGTGAAAGATAGGCGCTGCTTAATATTCACTACCGTCTTGCAGACCCCAGCTCCCAGCTAGCTCGGACATGGTAAGTATAGAATTGCTAGTTTTTAGCAAGTGGGACAATTAGCAAAACCACTAAAACACTAATGTTGAGTATTCAGTAGTTCCAATTCCCTTTTCCTGAAGTGAATTCAATGTGTTCTTTTTAAAATATATTTTAAACAACTCCTTAAAAAAATATATATATGTAATGGGGAAAAAGGAGGCAAGAGGTTGGCAAGACCCTATCATTAGAAATGTTTCCCCACCTGGTGGAGCTCAGGGAGGCAACGATACCCAGAGCTGGGTCTCTCCCTCAAAACCACCAAACAAAGGCAGAGGCCATGCTCAGACCTCGGGTCCGTAGGACTGGGTAAAGAACCAGGAAACTGGACTTAGACCCAGGCCCTAAGACAACACATGAAGGCCATTTCTTTCCAATATGTACCATTAAATCATCCTGTTCCTTCCCATTAGCCTGGGATGTGAGGTGGCTGGGGGTATTCATGGAGACCACTCCCCAAAGATATTGAAATTATTCTAAGTGTAAAATATTATGTCGGTTGGGGCTCCAGCAATGTTTTTCAAATCTATCCCTTTTACTGACCCGAACAAATACAAAGGTGGTGGTGTCCTCTCTCCTTTCCTAGACGAGGTCCTGGCAGGGATTTGGAACCACGACGAAATTCGAAAGAAACAAACGCCGTAGAGAAATGATGCTGAAATCTGAGTGCTCAACATTCCCTCACACAAAGAATGCATCATCTGAAATGTTGCAGTCCAGGCAGGCCTCTTGACCAAGAAAAGATTTTTAAACAAGAAAAAAGATTTCCTCCAGCATTCAATCGCTGCGAGTTCAGAAGGCCAACCGGGGAACTCTTTTTAAGGCCTGGGGGCTCTCCTCAAGGGAGGTGGGCTGGGGAGGCTTCCGGGAGGCCGACGGGTGAAGGAGAAATCCAGAACCGTTGTAAATATTCATGTCTTCCGGAGGAGGGGGTGCCCCTTCACCCCGCCTCCCCCAGCTGCATCCACCACCCCTCTTAGTGGGGGAGGGGGGCAGCACGGCGCCTGTCCGACCGTCCTTGGACAAAGGTGATCTCCCCACATTTTTGTTCTCCAGTCATTTGACTTAGGGAGCCCATTCCAAAGGCACTACCGGGAAGATACTGGCTCTGGGGGTTTTCCCCGCATTTCTCCTCTTCTTTCGTTTCCTAAAAGAGCATAAATAATTAAAGTTTGGCAGGGAGGAAAACCTTTCTTGCAGAACTGTAGTGGCAATAAATGAAATGACTCAGAATCCCTTCCCCAGTCAGCTTTTACGAGAGCTGCCAGACGGTGTCTGTTCACGTTCTACAGATACCAGGGTCGCCCTGACAAAGTTAAGGTCAAGTTAGTGTCTTATCTTGGGTGGCTCGAAATTACCGCATCGCGTCCAGGCGCTGCGCGGAAAGCTACCACTCGGGGAGCTGCTGGCTATGCCGCGAAGGTCCGGTGCACTCCCGGCGCTTCAAATGGGACCGGGCAGGCAAGGACAAGGCCACATCGCCGGAGTCCTCTCGGTAGGTTCTCGTGGGACGCGCGGGTCGGGAGGCTGAGGTTTTCTTAGGTTTGGGGTGAGGATCCAGGAGGGGGCTGGGGCCAAAGGGCCAAGCGGACTTGGCCCAGAATGAATGCAGGACTGGTGGCGGGGACGGGGGTCCGTGCTAATGCTCAGAGAAGGACCCTTTGCCCCTTTCCCCTGCACACCCGCGCCGCTGCAGATGGCGCACCCTCCCCCGCCAAAGCTCGGCTCCACCGGAGCCGCCATCGCCATGTCGTTGAACTTGAATGGTTCGTCCTCCGCATTTCCCTCTTCGCCGGTCAGCAGGTTCCACTTTGGGGACAGCGGGCTGCCTGCGCCCCACCCCGAGCCGAGAGAAGGTGCGAGCATTTTGCACACTCCAGACACATAAAAGAGCCGGCTGAGGGCCACCCATCCACCCCCGAGGCCGTTGCCTTGGGTCATGAGCGGCCGCAGGGCCGGTGTTCAGTGTCCTGGGAGCCATTTTAGGAGAGAGATCCAGGGGCGTCGACCACGCGCCCGAAAGGGAGAGGCTTGGGTGGGGGATGGAGATGGGAAGGCAGATAAATGAGCCGGCGATCTGAGCTGAGGAGAAGGGGGCGAACTGGAATCTGAGCGATGGTGCCAGTGTCGAGGAGGTGCACACAAGGATGGGCAGTTCTGGGTAGGGGGAAGGCTCTTTGCCCTCCAGTAGCCACCGACCTGTTTGCGCAGTGTTCGGAGAGACCGGAGGTGGGAGGGCGGAGGAGAGAGTGGGAGGGAGAAAGAGAGGGAGGAGAAATAGAGGAAGTGGGGGGGGGACATCGGCCAGAAAATAGATATGAGCTCTGATCACCCGCCTTTTCTCTGTCTGTCGGCATGGTGGGCAGAGCTCCCCGCACGGGCACCGCGGCAGCCAGCCGGGGCCAGGGAGGGAACCAGCTTCCCAGCCTGCGCTGCCTGCCCTAGGCGTAGGGCGAAGGCCCAGAACCCAGTGCTGGGATTGCTGTGGCTGAGGAATCCTGGGGAGAGGGGCAACGTCCTGCCCTTGGTTATGGGACTTGTGTTGGGGCAGCTATTTTCCGGGAGACTGATGTTGCCGTTGGAACGCTCTGACTGTCACGGAGGTGGGAGTCCAGGCCTTGCCTGGACCCCAGGTCTAGGAAAGAGACACGGCAGCCGCTGAGGAGAGAGAGGCCTTGGGGCGAGTGGATGGGGGGCCTTCGGGGCCAAGTGGCGCAGAGGGGTTCGAGGAAGGAGGGAAGAGCCGCTGAGAGCCTGCTCCCAGAGCCAACGGACCTCCTGGGGGGCCGCAGGGACCTTGCCGGCTCAAGGGCGCCACAGGAGCCTAGGGGAGACGCGGCGTGGATGCCTAGGCCTCGGCGGGGCTCCGACGCGGGCAAGGGGCTGGATGTGAGGCGGGCTGGTATCAGGCTAGAAAGCAGAGAGGGTGAGGCAGGCGGAGGCGCCCATGATTTGTCTCTGGTTGGGGGGAGGGGGGAGCGAGAGCCCAGACACCCTGAGAAAAGGACTCCAGAGCCTTTTGTCCACCAGACCCCCGCGACCCAGCTTCCAGAGGGCCACGGGGTGTCTCCGCGGGCTGAACTCACTTCTTGTGCTAGTGCTGGGAAAGAAAGGGCAGAGAGGCGACAAGAGGGGAGAGAGAGAGACTGACACACTGCGAGGGGTAAGGAAGTGGATCCGCGGGCAGAGAGGCCGAGGAAAGTGAGAGACAGGAAGAAGGAAAGAGGAAAACAGAGTAGTGAGAAGACGGGAGGGAGATGAAGGGAGAAGGAAGACAGAGACAGAGGAGGAGACAGGGTGACAGGGCCGAGTGGGCACCAGGGCCTGGTCCGGGGGAGCTCTTCCTGGGGTTTTGGCGTGGGTTTTTTGAGCTGGCACTCGCGATTCCGGAGTCAGGAATGGAGAGAGAACCAACTTACTCCGCGGCGAACGCTCTGGGCAGAGATATGTAAATCAGGGCTTCTTGCGCCTGGAGAGCGCCGCAATTAAGCTTCTTGAACAAGAAGCAACAAGCTCCCAGCGGGCATGCTGCAGAGGGTGGCGGCGTCGTGGGGGAGGGAGCGGCTGCAGGAAGGGATGTGGGGGGTGGGAAGCTCACACCCTCACACCTAGTCCCCGGTGCCCCGGGCTGGGGCTGCCCCCTCCGCACTCCGCTCCTTTCTCTTCCCCCTTCCTCCCCCTTCTCCTTCTCCCCCTCCCTCCTCCTCCCTGCCGGCTTTGGTCCGCGTACTTAAAGCAGCGCGGGAGGGCGGGCGCGGGAGGGCGGCCCAGCCGGGCGGTGGCAGATGCACCCAGCAGTGGCAGCCGCCGGAGGCGCACAGGTGACCGGCCTGCGGCACAGTCTGGTCAGGGGGCGCCTGGGGATTGCTGGCTGGAGAGGGAGGCCGATCCGCCCCCAGCGCGCGTGTGTCTCGGCGCCAGGAGCCGTCCCGGGGCGTGTTGGCGAGCGCTGATACAGATATAAGGACATTTCTCTCCATGGCGTCACGTGACATAATTACCACCAGAATCAATCAAGATGAATTGCACGTCAGCGACCGGTGGGGATTTTTGCTTAGTTGATCCCGGCCCAAGCCTCTTGTGCAATCGATGGCTCAGGTTGACGGCGCGGGGAGCGGCCCAGGGCTCGCAGGCGCGCACGCCGCGGAGCCATGAACGACTTTGACGAGTGCGGCCCTAGCGCAGCCAGCATGTACCTGCCCGGCTGCGCCTACTATGTGGCCCCGTCGGACTTCGCCAGTAAGCCGTCGTTCCTGTCTCAACCGTCGTCTTGCCAGATGACTTTCCCCTACTCTTCCAACCTGGCGCCACACGTCCAGCCCGTGCGCGAAGTGGCCTTCCGCGACTACGGCCTGGAGCGCGCCAAGTGGCCCTACCGCGGCGGAGGCGGCGGCGGCGCTGGGGGCGGTGGCGGCGGGGGAGGCCCCGGCGGGGGCGGCAGTGGTGGCGCCGGCGGCTACGCTCCCTACTACGCTGCAGCAGCGGCGGCGGCGGCGGCGGCGGCGGCGGCGGCCGAAGAGGCGGCCATGCAGCGCGAGCTGCTCCCGCCCGCGGGCCGCCGACCGGACGTGCTCTTCAAGGCGCCCGAGCCAGTGTGCGCCGCGCCCGGGCCGCCACACGGCCCCGCAGGCGCCGCCTCCAACTTCTACAGCGCCGTGGGCCGCAACGGCATCCTGCCGCAGGGCTTCGACCAGTTCTACGAGGCTGCGCCCGGGCCCCCGTTCCCCGGACCGCAGCCCCCACCGCCGCCCGCGCCTCCGCAGCCCGAGGGCGCTGCCGATAAAGGCGACCCCAAAACAGGGGGCAGTGGCGGCGGGGGCAGCCCTTGTGCCAAGGCGACCCCCGGCTCAGAGCCCAAGGGGGCAACAGAAGGCGGCGGCGGCGGCGACAGCGAAGGGCCCCCGGGGGAGGCAGGGACTGAGAAGAGTGGCGGCGCAGGTAGGCATCGGGCGCGGGGTGGGCGGCTGGGCCAGGGGGCCGTGGGCGCGGGGGGGGGGGCGCGGGGGCCTCCCTCTGCTTGCGCCGTTTTATGTGCTACTTTATAAGCGTTCGAAGGGGTTTATACATCCTATAAGATTTCCCGGGCCGTTGTAAAGCGTGTTTACGATAGGAAACCAATTTAGGTGGGCTTAAGGTAGAGTTCGAAGAAGACATTAATCGCTGCAGAGAGCAATTCCCCAGTTTGAGGGTGTGTGTTTGAGAGCAGGGAGGGAGGGGAGGTTTAAGCCAATTCGTGAGTGTGGACTCTCGCACCTCCTGCTTTTGTGGGGGGTGGAATATGTGTGAGAGGGACAGTTTGATCCTTGAACTGGACATTATCCAAGCCTCTGGGCTGAGGTGCGCTGCTCGCTAGAGTCGAGCTAATGTTCTGGCGCTCTCGAGTTTCTTTCCCTTCGGGTTCCAGCTCATAGCCTGCCTCTTCCTCTGCTTCTCCACCTCCGTGCCAGTGTGTGTGTGTGTGTGTGTCTGTGTGTGTGTGTGTGTGTGTCCGGGCGTGAACACACGTCCACGCCCGCACTCTCTCCTGTGCCCGCCCATATATCATCCCCCACGACGCAGACAGGGCCTTTCAGCAGCGGCAGGGGACGTCCCGAATGGGCTGGAGGCCTGGCCCTTGCGCGGGCCGGCGGGCGGGTAGTGGTGCGCAGCAGCGGCCTCTCTCACCCCTTGGTTTCTTTGCCTTTCAGTGGCCCCACAGAGGTCCCGGAAAAAGCGCTGTCCTTACACCAAGTACCAGATCCGTGAACTGGAACGCGAGTTTTTCTTTAACGTGTACATAAACAAAGAGAAAAGACTCCAACTCTCTCGGATGCTCAATCTCACTGACCGGCAAGTCAAAATCTGGTTCCAGAATCGCAGGATGAAAGAAAAGAAACTGAACAGAGACCGTCTGCAGTATTTCACTGGAAACCCCTTATTTTGAGAGCTCCAGGAAGCACCCCCCTCCCCCGAACTTCTCTCACCCACCCTGCTCCCCACAAGCCTGCCCTCGGCAGGCCCAATGTCCTTGGGCTTAATGACGCCTCTTCTCTGTGGAACTCCACGACTCCTTCCCACGGTCAACTCGGGACCTCCCAGCGACCACTGCAGCCTGCCGACGAGGCCGGGACTTGGCCGAATGGATCCTAATAAGGGGAAAATGGTAAATGCAAACATCCCTTTACAATTTTACCGCCAATGTGCTGTTGTTCTCCCTCCTTCTCTTCGAGTCCCCGTGGGGACGCTGTGGGATCTGTAGAGAGTTAGGCCTCTGGGCTGGAAGGCACTTGTTATTGTTCTGAGTTTAAGGAACCCAGACCTTCCCCCCTTGGTGAATACAAATTATTTAAACTGGGAAATGTACCTTTGGTCTGTCTTATCAAGGCATGAGTCACTGTCTTTTGTGTGAATAAATGGTTTCTAGTAAAATGAAGGTTACAGCTTCAATATACTATATGAATTTTCCTCTGCAAAGTTAAGTGTCTGATTAGGTTATTTTAGTGGCCAAATCTCCCCTATGCATCTGAAAATCAAGTGAAGTTTTTTAATCCCGCTAAAATCAGTTGTTCCCTTCCACCCCTTCTAGGCTACACCAGTTTTTAAAATCACTTTAGGGATGAATTTCTTAATTGAGGATGTGATTGGTGCTGCCTTCTCCAAATTAGGCTGGGGTAGCAGGAAACTAAGAAACAAATCTCCTCCCCTAACCCACCTTTAGTCTAGTGAACTTGGAATTTCTGAAAAGACAAAAGCCATTTAAAAAAACGTTAGAAAATCCAAATTCACTCTTAACAAGGTGTCAAGGAGTCAGAGTCCTTTCAAAGAAGAAACAAAAATTAGAACTCTACATTGAAAAGAAAAAGTTTGCTAAAAGTAAACTATCAGTGAATGGAGAAAGCTTGATTGGGGTCCTTGCTGGTGTCACAGCTGGCCTGGAGCAGGAAAGGTAAGGTTCTTCCTGGAATAGCGCCAGGGGCTGCAGACCCACATCTCACCGCATTTATCGCTTCAAGTTAAAGAATGTGGTGGGGGCTGTACTGCACTTTATGTTGCAGGGCCAGGCCAGGCTGTTTACAAAACCTTGAACTGTCTAGACAACACCATAAAAGCTTAAGTTCTAAACAGCTTAATTGGGTTATATTATACACCTTCTGGTGGGCCCAAAAGAGATTTCCGCAATGTGCAATAAACTGGAGGAGTGAGAAAAGCGTCTTTCTCTGAAAAGAGTAAAGTGAATCTTGTGACTCTTAACCTTTCATAAGCCCAAAGTACAAAATAAATAAATCCATAAGATGTACAGCGCTCCATGCATCTTCCAAGGAGGCATGCATTTCCAAATGCAAAAAAAAAAAAATTTAATTGCCAAAGCTTTTTCGGGAAGGAAAAACATAAGTGTATGCCTTTGAACTTCCAAAATGTCAAGGTCATCACCTTTAACCTTTCTGAATAATTAGGTGCCTTAAGGTTCTTCTGTGATATTCAACTGCCACCCACTCTCACACATACATGCTCACATACATCCAGACCCCCACATACATTTATGACCACACAGAATTATATCGGGGATCACATAAATCTAAACAAATTCCTCATTTCAAGATCAATAACCTTAATTTCCCTTCAAACATTTCTGTAATTCAACAGCAATTGACATCTTTTTAAAAATAGTGGTTAGATTAAAATGTCTACCAGCATGCTTTGAATACAGCTAGGAAATGCTGGGGGTGTTTTTTTTTGGTGGGGGGGCGGTCATAGCAGTATCCTTTGCTCTAATGAAGAACTGTGGTTTTAAAACAAGCATTTGAAAGTAGAAGTTCTATTCAGGCCTTCACCTTTGTAATATATGAAAAATTAGCCACCCTGTCAAATAAAATATTGTACTTTCTATAATATGAAACAAAAGAAAATATATTTGCATTGCTTTCCAAAGCTTCTCTAAGCCTTTGGTGAAAGATGCAATAGATACAAAACCTACAATTGAATAATTTTGTTTGAAATTCTGAACGTCAGTTAAAATGTCAATGTCCTAGTAATATGATCGTTCCAGGAGCGTAAAACTGGTTTATTTCTTTCTCTCTCCTCTTTTTTTTTAACTGCGTCTAAACGTAGCAAGCTTGTATGTCCACCACCTTAGGCAAGCAGAACCAAGAGATCCCATTTCCCATTTGCATGGCCTCGTAGAGCCACACGAGGGCGTGCTCACGTTCCAGAAGCCGCGTTCGGCAGAGAGGCTGCGGTACCGTATCTTTCCAATACTGGATTCTAATAGGAAATCTCAGCCCACTACAGGCAAGCGGCCGCTAAGGTGCTTGTTCTAAGCAGCCAGGAGACGGGGGAAGTTGTTTAAGGATAGAGAAAAGGGAACTACCCAGATTCCTGAAACAAGTGATTACCAATCGTTGTCTCCTTTATAAAGATAAAGCTGTTGCAAAGAATACCTTGGTATATAACCTGATGGTGTTGAGGGTTTTTAAAAGACAAATACGTGTAACTTCGAAGTAGGTCATGCCACTGAGAGTTAACTGAATTAGGGAAAATCAGTTTTCTTGGTTTGAGTGTGGAGAGGGATAGGAGGGTAGGACCAACCCCTCCCAAAAAACCGCGTCTGCCTTGCGTGCTCTCCTACCGCCTGGGATGATTAAAAGGCTTTTGTTTAAGACTGATCAGAGCGCCGGCAACTTAGCTGAATGTGGTCTCAGCAAAAAAACAGGCGCGCTGGGACTGAAGGGGCCGTTTTGGGCGAGGGAGTCCCCCCAGCCCGGTCGTGCCAGGCGCCCGGGGCTAGTGATAGCGAACAGGAGGCGCAGGCAGTTAGGGCGCCCAGGCCAGGCTGGGCTGACGCGGCTGCGGGAAGCGGCAGGCTGTCCGGGAGACGTTTATGCTCCAAAGCGTCTCGGAATGACGAATGCATTGGAAACAAACGGGCTTTGCGTTTGACAGAACTCTGGACACCCTCGTAGCACCCTGTTGGCCTTGGCCGCAGAGTTTGATTTTGGCACCAGGTCTTGGAAGCAGTTTTCTTGCTGCGTGCCCTGCTCACCCACCCCCACCCCAGTTCGCCCCTTTACAAAGCCCCTGACAATGGGGACGGCTGTGTCACCATCCACGGTCCAAAAGAAAGGTTCCAAAAGGGAGGGCTCCCGGACGTGGACCATTCCAAAGGAGGGTGGCTGTTCCTTCTTCCCCGAAGTTCACCTTGAAGTGCCGGCAACCCCTGGAATGAGTGCCGTCCTCGTTGTCTTCGCTGTCTCTGTCTCCTCTCTCCACAGTCTAGACCAAAGGCCCTGGGTCCACCCCAGGGAGCTGGCATTGGCTTCAGCGGTGGCTGGGGCGCCACGAGCCCCCGGCAAGGCGCCAGCCAGAGGCGTGGGTGTTTCCCGAGGGCACCCCCGGCTCCCGCCTGTCTGACGGCGGGTTCAGTTTAGCTGTTGTGAAGCGACATTTCCCTAGGTCTAACCTGGGCTTCAGTCCACTTGGGGTGAGAACTCTCCTCCCCAAATGTCGTTGTGTTTCTCTGTAGGCGGCTCCAGCAGGGCACGCATGGCCTTGCAGGGCCCCTTGGCCTTGGCTGGCAGCTACTGTCAGACCATGAATGCTCAGCTCTGCAGGTCCTTTCCTCCGGGGAGAGTTCAAGATGGGCCTGAAACAGGCCAGGGGATTGGACCGGGACTTCCTGGGGATACAGATCTGGCGCCTCCTGATTGTTCAGGGTGTGTGTGGCTTTGGAGGGTAGCAATGGAGGCTGGGTCGTTGTGGTCTCAGATCCTGAAGTAGAGGGAAATAGGAGTCTTTTGTGTTGGCAATGGGAAGAGGCTTCTCGGCAGCCGGCCCTTTAGCTGGTCCCCGTAGACCCCCTCATCGTGGTGGTGGTGGCTTCCCCAGCCTCCCTATTTTCGCCTTTGATTTCTTTTCGTTAGCAGGGACATGTACAGTGCAACTCAGAGGAGCACCCTGGGGAAGCAGCTTTTAAAATTCGTCCCCATCCAGTCTGCCCCCTAGAGTGGCACTGCCCTGAGGCCACTCAAGTTCCAAATTCTGGGTGAATCTAGGAGCCCCCAGATCCTCTCAGGCCCAGGGTCGCTGCTCTTCCCAGTGACAGGAGAGCTCAGATGCAAACCACCTCTTGAATACAAATGCTAATTTCTTGCTAACTCGACCTTTTTAATTTTTCTCTAGAAGGAGTTGTGCCAGGGAGAAGGATGTCCTGCTACAAATATGGATATTCATCTCCTTTATGGTGCAATATTGATTTATTATTAATGGTAACTGCTCCAAGTGATCTAAAGATGATCGAAAACAGCAGCAATGCAGCCATATTAAATACTCCTAAGGAAAATAAAGGCTGGCCTTAAAAGCCACAGCCTTTTCATTCCGTTTGCTTCATCCTAGCCTTAAGGTCTTAGGCAAATTTTACATCCTCCCGGCCCAGACAGTTCTCTTGAATTGTTTTTATTTTGCTCGACCTTTATGATAAAAATCTCTCTGAAATATTGCCAGTCTCTGGCCTCAAGGAACTGGTCTGAAGGTAGAAATGTGAAAAAGAATAAAATAGAATTTTGTAAAAATAGACTAAAAATTATATCTGATACACTTTTTTTCCCCTGTGAATAGACAAAACCTTCTTTAAACCAAATCCAATGTGATGGAAGGGTGACTTTGAGCTTGAAAGCCACCGGGAGCTGAAACAGAATGACTTCCAAATTCAAAAAGCAAATTCTGCCTGTCCTGGCTCATCACAGACCTACCCCCTCTGCAAGGAATTGCTGTTTTTTTTGCCTGGATGTTTTCTTCATGTATAAATAAAGATTATGAAAGGGCATTTGATGGGCATAAAATTCCCGATTAGATTGGACAGTCTTGCTGTGAGAGTGGGATAGGGGGAATTAGACATACGAGTTTCCGGGAGCTGCCCTGGCCGCGTTGCAAAGGGATAACAGTGCTGAAGTACCAGGCTGGCGTCAGGGCGCCTGCCGAGAGTATGCAGCGGGCACTTCGTCCAGCCCTGGGCACGCTTAATGGTGGCAAGGATCATGATTTCCACCTTGTGGGAAAGCAATTGTTGGGTTGCTGGTCAGTGGCTGTTAAGTCTGAACAGGACCTTAGCAGACTAGAGTCCAAAGTTGGGTGTGTTTTTCCCCCTGCCTTCCTCACACCCCCTATCCCCAATCTTAAAAACAGCCACTCCTGCCTAAAGGTAATGTTTAAACCTCCGGCTTCACTAGCCGGCATCCCGCAGCCAGAGCAGTTACAGGCGCCAGGCTTTTAACCTGACAATGATGTTGTATTTGAACAGCTGCGGAAAGGTTTAAAAGGTCTGTCTCATTGCCACCGCGGAGTTTTTTAAAAGGGGTTATTGTTTGGGCGAGGGCACTGCAAGGGGACAGGCGAAGCGGTCCCAAGGCCGAAATAATGTCCAGCGCCTCTTTTCACCAGGCCAGGGAAGATTC